GCCTAGTAATAGATTTCGTCTGTTAGTACAAACCAATTCTTTCTTCTAATTTCATATTCATGTTTAAATAAACTTCGTATTTGTATAATTGTGTATATTATTTACCTACAGTATTTACCGTTATTTCTTCCCTATTGCTTGATACTATCATTACACCTACCCACGAGCCTCCTATCGTCACGCTACCAATGGTGATATATAAAAGTAAAAGGAATTGTTACTGGCACACAGGCCCTCATGAAGGGTGGCAGTAGCAGCCCTCATACATGGTGGCAGCTCAAGCCCTCATAAATGGTGGCAGCTCAAGCCCTCATCCGTACCTGTCACAAGTGGGGTACCACAGGGCAGTGTATTGGGCCTGCTGTTGTTTGTTTGTTTCATAAAGGACATGCCTGACTTTGTACACTCCTCCATACAAATGTTTGCCGATGACGCCAAGTTATTTCAAGAAATCAAGAACTAAGCGGACTGTGAAGAGCTGCAGAAGGAGCTAAGTGGGCTCCAAGAATGGTCGAAGAAATGGCTGCTGAGATTTAATGTCACGAAGTGTAAGAGGATGCACCTGGGGCATACCAACGGTAAGGAGGCGTATCATATGTCCCAACGGGATGAAGAAACTGCACTATTTGAGACTGATTGTGAGAAGGACCTAGGTGTGTAGGTTGATAATGAGCCATTGCGAGAAGAAGGTAAATCAGGCAAATAAATTATTGGGACTTATAAGAAGGTCGTTCAGATATTGTTCAAGAGTGAAGTGCTTCCCCATGTGGAGTACTGTCACCCCGTCTGGTCCCAAAATATGCTAGGGAGTGTTAGTTGGTTGAAAATGTTCAAAGGAGGGCCACCAGACTGGTGCCTGCACTTCGGCACCTCAACTACACTGAGAGATTGGAGCGCCTGAATTTGCCTAGCTTATACTACAGACGGGCAAGGGGCGACCTAATTGAGGTGTATAAGCGTCTCAAGGGACACTGCTCAGTCAAGTGCCCTTACTTGGAGCTGGCGGACGCTCGCCCCACACGGGGACACATCTCAAGATTGAAGAAGCCGCAGGTCCAGAAAACTATGAGGGCAAACTTTTTCGGAGTGAGAGTTGTGAACTCTTGGAACAATCTACCAGAAAGTGATGTGACGGCACCGAGTGTGAGCTCTTTCAAGACCAGACTTGACCAACACTGGAACAGGTTCAGGTACATTCAGGAGCTCGTGCATACTCAGTACTTGTCAACAGTGCGTAACAGAGACGTGACCGATCGCCCAAGCGGCTAACGAGCCGATCATTTGGTTTATTTGTTTATTTTTTCCTAGAGTGTATTAATTGTGAGTGATAAAGAAGGTTATTCAAGACCCTTCTTAGTGTGCCTATAGGCGAACCCCGGACAGTGGTGTAACTGCACTATCACTGTTTTTCCACTGCCGGATTGGCCTGTGTTCCCCCGACCTCCAACGGACACACACATTCCCACTTACTGTGAGGTGTACTCCACTGGAGGGGCTCTAGCATGAATACTTAAATATAAGCAGGTGCCTCGGTCAGGGTAAGTAAGGAAGGATTTCAGCAACTGCCAATCAATAGCTGCCCTCCAGCAGGAGTGTGGGTCACTCACTCTACCCGTGGGGAGGGCTAACAAGAAGACCAAGACATTTCCTCCAAACATGAAAACACCACACCCAATCAAGCCGACCAAGCACTGAGAAACCATGGCCCAACCCAACACGCACCTGACGCTTGACCTGACGCTCACCTGACTCTGTCCTGCCGCCTCCTCGCCGCGTCCAGGCGAGTTGCTGCTGCCTCCAACTTAAACTCCCTCACGCAAGCGGTGTTTAGCCACTGCACCTATTCTCTCTTTCTAAAATTCACTTCAATCCTCCCTTTATCCTTCCCCTGAACCTCCTTCTCCCCTGTCACTAGCATTTAAGTAAGTAAGGCTGTAGAAGCGGTACCGCTCTTCCCTCGCAAGCAAGATGTCACGGGTTCGATTCCCGGGCAAGCGGAAGTTGTTTGGACACTCTTCCTAGCCCCCTTGGTCCCTGTTCACCTAGCAGTAAAGTAGGTACCTGTTGTAAATCGAAAGGTTGCGAATTCGTATTCAGGGAAAGTTGTTGGAGCTTCTAAACTTGGAACTTACACAATCCGGAGGAATGGTAACCCAAGGATCACACACCCAACACAGACAAAACCAAATACGTGCGCTATGCGCTAACCAAATAAACGCAGTCGTGTAAAGCCACGCCACTATCTCTCCCACTACAATTCCCTTCCTAACCTCCTGCTCCTTTCTCTGTCATCTTCCCCGCTCTGCCTTTCGCTACCAACAACTTTGAAGCTTCTAAACTTGGAAAAAGCTGTAAGCCGACTGATCACCTGCCGTTCGCTTACCAGCCAATCAGCTTACAGCTTTCCACTTCTAAACTTGGAAAGCTGTAAGCTGATTGGCTGGTAAGCGAACGGCAGGTGATCAGTCAGCAGTTGTAGGGAAGAGTATCCACCACACCGTCACAAGTTTCTGGTAGATTGTTTCAAGAGTTCACAACCTCACCTGCGGCTTCTTCAATCTTGAGCTGTGACCCCTTGTGGGGCGAGCGTCCGCCAGCTCCATGTAAGGACACTCGACTGAGTAGTGCCCCTTGACATGCTTATACACCTCTATTAGGTCACCCCTTGTCCATCTGTAGTATAAGCTAGGCAAGTTCAGGCGCTCCAATCTCTCAGGGTAACTGAGGTGCCGAAGTGCAGGCACCAGTCTGGTGGCCATCCTTTGAATATTTTCAACCAACTGACAGTCCCTAGCATATCCCGGGGACCAGACGGGGTGACAGTACTCCAGATGAGGAAGCACTTCACTCTTGAAGATCGTTACGAGGGACGGACCGTCTAGATATCTGACCGACCTTCTTATAAGACACAATAATTAATTTGCCTGATTTACCTTCTTCTCGCAATGGCCCGAGAACTTCAGCTCATTATCAACATACACACCTATGTCCTTCTCACATTCAGTCTCAAATAGTGCAGTTTCTTCATCCCGTTGGGACATATGATACGCCTCCTTACCGTTGGTATGCCCCAGGTGCATCCTCTTACACTTCGTGACATTGAATCTCAGCAGCCATTTCTTCGACCATTCTTGCAGTTCACAGAGATCCCTCTGCAGCTCTTCACAGTCCGCATGGTTCTTGATTTCCCGAAATAACTTGGCGTCATCGGCAAACATTTGTATGGAAGAGTGTACACTGTACAACGTCAGGCATGTTATTTATGAAACAAACAAACAACAGCAGGCCCAATACACTGCCCTGTGGTACCCCGCTTGTGACAGGTACGGATGATGATTTCGTGCCATAAATCACCACACACTGCTTCCAGTCATGTAGAAAGTCTTCTATCCACACGAGGACATTTCCCCGAATTCCGTACCCTTCCAGTTTGATTTTCAACCTTCCGTGGGGTACACTGTCGAAAGCCTTGGCAAAATCTAGGTAAATATTGTCGATATTACCACCCTGCTCCAGAATATGGGTCCAAATATCCAATACCTTGAGCAATTGTGTTAAGCAAGAGGGCCCCGGCATAAAACCGTGTTGGCAATCCTTTACAAGGTTGTTTCGTAGTAGATGTTCCATCGCGGCATCTCTGATAATACTCTCATATACTTTACATATTATGCTGGTCAGGCTCACCGGTCTATAGTTGTTCGTGGAGTGACGATCGCCCTTCTTGAAGATAGGACTCACAAAAGCCACTTTCCATTCACTGGGGACCTTTTGTTCATCCAGGCATTTACAAAACAGGATCTTCAGCTGGTGTTTTGCACAACACCAGCGGCCACTCTAACCAGAAAGGCCCAAACAAACCACATTCACCACCTTCTCCGGGTCATCACACGATACCCACCACCCAGATAGCTTAGAAAGCATCCTCTCCCAGCAAGTGCGGACCCCAGTTCGGGGGGCGCGCCACTCCGAAACTGACCACGTCCAAGAGTGGGGGTTGGTGGTAAGCGTCCACTGATCGGGGGTCTGCTCACACTTGCAACCTGCAGTATCCCTCCAATCTGCAGGTGGGACCACCTCCAATCCCAATCCGTTCTGGCTGCTCCTGGAGCTCCAGCCGGAACCACCAAACGGGCCGCCTATAGGCAAAGGCCCGTGTCGGACTACGGTCCGACAATCTTGTAACAACAACAAGGTGACCTCTCTCTTTTCTACCTACACCAACCAGCAAGCAACACCTCCTCCTCCGCCGCTGCCTGGCGGCCCTCGCTCCCGCCGGCGAGCATGGCGACCCACAAGCTGGTCCTCCTCTGAGCACTCTCACCAACCAACTCTCTCTACATCACGCTTGTAACCACATGTATACAGAGAGCACATCGTTATTTTTGAGTCTTGAACCAAACATCCTATACCCCACACTATAACATACAATAAATGGATTACACAAGCTACCCGTAATAGGCGTTATGATTGTTACGATGTTTACGGCGCACATACTGTAGTCAAAACTAGTGATTTTTAATCGTCCCTGATCAAAACCAATATATACCAGTGGATGAAAACTTGTAAAGGTAAAGGCGCGAATATACAATACAATAAGCCCCTCTATGCAGTGAAGTTTGTCATACAGCCGGTGTATTTGGTCTGTATATATAATTGAAGCCGAATGCTCGTGAATGCTCACCTTAGATCATTAACATTGAGTGACACTAATTAAACACGCAGATTATAATGAGTATAATTTAATTGCGTATTTATGGGAAGGGTGATGAAGAAACCTTTACCGTGCCCATTATGAAAGTTTACCTAGTTGTGTCTTTCTGTTACATAAACCAAATTCAATTCCCATCTTGTATTGGACTGGCGATTTTTTTTCTTTTAAACAAAGAATTTATAAACTAATTTCCTTTTAATATTTCGTCAACCATGGGTAGAAATAAGCAATTGCGTTAATGTAATATAAAGGGAAATATCGCTCGGTTGGCTGGCATGGGCGTTGTGGTGCGGTGTGTTGGCAGGCATGAGAGCAGGAAAACAAAGCTTGACAATTCATCATCAGTTAAAGGTGTGCGGCTCTTTAACTCCCCAATATTCCAGCTGTGGGAATACTGCTGTGAGTAGCTGTGGTAGTGGGTGTGTGTGGCAGTGTGGTGAGTGTGTGTCGCGTGGGTTGAGGTTCGTATTACCCTTCCAGTGTCCAATTACACAGTGAGTGAAGACCTGATGATCACCTGACTGTCTGTGAGTGTCTCAGTCGTGGTCGTACAGGTGAACCTCTCACACCTGTCATGTATCTTGAGTGTCAGTCGGTGGTGTACAATTGACCCTCCCACACCTGTTCTATGTGTCAGTCGTGGCCGTATAGTTGAACCTTCCACACCTGTTCTGTGTCATTTGTGGGTGTGAATCTATCCCACCCACACCTGTCCTTCATGTGTCAGTTGTGGGGGTTTTAATGAATTACAGTGATTTATTTATTTTACCGTACAGTGTAACTTGTGTTGGTTATTATTACAGATACCATCTATTGTATTGAGATGTTGTGAACTGTAACTAAAGGACTGATAAGTGTGGAAACCTGATTAGAAATTTACAAATTTCAACGTGTTTTGTTCTCCGTGAAATTGGTCATGTTACAGAGAGCTCTGCAGTGTTGTGGTAAGGAGAAAATTATGGAAGTGTTTTTAACATATACTGTATAGGATTTTCAAAATCTTTGGAAATAACAGATCACCTGAACAACAACCCCCCTCCCCCCTGTTGTGTTAGGATGGGGTTAATCCTTAGGTGAAATAAGCTGGGGTGGAGATTCATCAAGTAATACAAGATATCCTTTGACTATTATTTACCGTACTGTTGCTTTAAGCCAGCACTGTCTGCATACAGTACATGCTTAACCACTGCAGTTGTGTGAAAAATTTATTGAACCTATCTAACTATATGTCTATCTATCTTGGTGTGGATCAAGTTTCTGAGAGCAGATCTGATGACAGCAGATGAGGTAAATATACATGGCATTATTTTTTAGTTATTTTAGGTTTGTTTTGTCTTTTATCGTTAGTCAGATGTAACACCAGAAGTCATCTTATTTAATTCTTTTATTCCAGGAGGCACTGTACTTATTAATAAAGCCAAGGATGGTATTTAGGTAAAAGTGGAGGAGACAGTTATCCCCAGTAGGAGTTTATAGAATTGATTCATTTTTTTCCAGAGATATTGTTTGGATGATAGTAAGTAAAAAAACTATACAATAGCATTTTCCTTTAATCCAGGACAGTATTAATAACTTGAGAGCAATGTTGACATAATAAGATAAAGGTGCCTGACACGGACTTGTTTTTATACAAAAATAACACAGTAATAACTAAGAACAACTACATGGCTTATTACAAAGATTCCTAAATTTTGTCATTGCTTCTACACCCTTTAGGAACAGCTTGCACATTGTGCATTGCAACCATAACTTCTTTATATATATATATATATATATATATATATATATATATATATATATATATATATATATATATATATATATATATATATATATATATATATATATATATATATATATATGCTGATAACCACAAGGAAACAAGCAAATGCAAAGTTTCCAAGCGCTTTCATACAATTCACATCTTCAGGAGAGAGTACTGTACGCGAAAGCGCTTGGGAACTTCGTGTTTTCTTGTTTCCTTGTGGTTATCAGCATACACTTGGATCACGCGCACCTACGGTTTATTGAAAAAGTTCTGTAGCCCTAAGGCTGAAAATATACAATGACTTATTACATACATTGGTGGTTTAGCAAAAGCCTCAATTAGAGAATGGTGAAGGAACATACAGTGAACATACAGATTAATGTTTACAGAGGAGGTCACGTAGATCATGTAGGCTGAGGTGTAAGCTGAACAGCAGACAAGTAGTGTAGTAACTCCCTCACAGATGGCGTTATGAGGGGCATCACGTGGAGTAGTAGTTCCCTCACAGGTGGTGTTATGAGGGGCTTGACATGGTGTAGTAATTCCCTCACAGATGGTGTTATGAGGGGCCTGATGTGGTGTAGTAAATCCCTCAGATGGTGTATGAGGGGCCTGATGTAGTGTAATAATTCCCTCACAGATGGTGTTATGAGGGGCCTGATGATGTAGTAATTCCCTCACATGTGGTGTATGAGGGGACTGATGATGTAATAGTTCCCTCACAGATGGTGTTATGAGGGGCCTGATGTGGTGTAGTAAATCCCTCACAGATGGTGTATGAGGGGCCTGATGTAGTGTAATACCTCACAGATGGTGTTATGAGGGGCCTGATGATGTAGTAATTTCTCACAGATGGTGTATGAGGGGCCTGATGATGGTAATTCTCACAGATGGTGTTATGAGGGGCCTGATGATGTAGTAATTCTCACAGATGGTGTAAGGAGGGGCCTGATGATGTAGTAATTCCCTCACAGATGGTGTTATGAGGGGCATCACGTGGAGTACTAGTTCCCTCACAGATGGTGTATGAGGGGCCTGATGATGTAGTAATTCCCTCACAGATGGTGTTATGAGGGGCCTGATGATGTAGTAATTCCCTCATAGATGGTGTTATGAGGGGCCTGATGATGTAGTAATTCCCTCACAGATGGTGTTATGAGGAACCTCACATGATGCTGTAGCAACTCATTCACTACATGGTGTCGTAGCATCATGGGGACACCATGTGGTCTGTTGTCACAGGACCTCACTCACTTGAGTGAGTGAGGTGTGGTCCCAGGCCTCCCTATCGTGGAGTCTCAGGGGAATTATCACTAAGTACCTGGGAACTCACTGTGTGAAGGTTAGCATTGGGTAAGACTCAACTGTAACTGCCGAGTTGTTTTTCACTGACTTAAGCACTGTTCACCACTATTCAACACTGGTTCCATTCCTTTCCCAAATAAAATAGAACTTCTGGCGAGAACTTGTTGATATTCCGGTGGGGAGGAGGGTTCAGGGGAGGGAGTTGGTTTGGGCCAACATAATAGTTGACGTGGCTGCTGCTAGAGCAGCGCCAGGTGCGTCTAGACCTGTCTTGACCCGTCGGTGGTCAAGGATGAAGTGTGTGTGTGTGTGCGCGTGTGCACAGTATAGTCTGCATTTACGCGGTCAATTGAACCCGTGGAGGCCCGCGTAAAACGAGAAACGAGTAAATGAAATATCAGAACATATGGGATTAATTGAAATAGAGACTTAAAAGTGAGTGTTTTGTGGTGCTGAGAAGAAAAAGAGACCCCCATTTTAGATTTTCTATGTAATATTTAAGCATTTCCGACTTATGACCATTTAGACTTACGACCTGGATGTAGGTCCCTAACCCCGTCGTAAGTCAGGGTGCAGCTGTATTTTATTTTGTTTTTCTAAATCTAAGTGCAAATACATACCGTCCATTTTCTTAAGTATATTTTCAAATGAAATGTTAAATCTGATATAAATATGTTGCACACCAATAAACACAATATAACCATATTCTAGTTTATTTAAGCATGCAAATTTGGAACAAATTAGTTCAGAAAAACTTTTTCTCACATCAATGAGATTGATGTGCCTACATATTCATGGAGAGATTTCACATGAAAAATAGACATGAATGACATTAGGATCTCCAATGCTGATTTAGTTATGGCCGAAAATTCTTGTGCTTTTCTGAGCCAGAATTCACCAGGTTCCTTTTCTATGTTTTGGAAAATACAGAGTATTCATTAAAATGGGATTGCAATTCAAACAGGTGATCTTTTATTATTCTATGTACTTCTGTGGTAAGGGAACTCTCATTTTCTCCTTGCATCTCACTACATCTACTTTACATATTTCACAGATTTTGCAAGATGATTTGGCAAGGTGCCGTGCACCCAATAAAACCCTGCTGTGTAGTACCCCTAGGGGTGTGTGCACCACAGTTTGAGAACCCCCGTCTTAACACACTATAAAACAGACTTATACTGTAGTGTACTAACACATCTTTCCCTCCCTACACACAAATACAGTAGGATTGGGACCAGTCCCCTTCTTTTACCTAACCTGTCCCTCAGTAGACTTAAGTAAATTATAGAGCCAGGAACATTTAAATTACAGTACAGTACAGTAGTAACACACAACATAGCTATCTACAATCAAAGAAAAAAGTATTGTGTTCCAAAACCCATGACGAAGAATTTGGGTAAAGTGACAGTGAAGGTTCGAGGTTCAATTCTTAACAGGGAACTTTACCCAAATTCGTTGTCATGGGTTTCAGAACATAGAGCATGGTAAGTGTAATGCACCTTTATTTATTTATTTATTTATTTTTACTGTACATGACTGATTCTGGTACTGTACTGTATGTGGGTCCGGGGCCTTGTGTACAACTGGACCTTGGTTTTACATCACCATTCACACCATATTATTCGTTATCGAATAACTTTTCAAGATAAATATACACATAATATACAGTACCAGGTTACAGTCGGCCAAAGATCCAGTGACCTGAGTCTCTTACTGGCAATACTTGGTAAAGTAAGGCTGTATGTAAAGGTGATTGTGATTGGTGGATCTATTTTTGGCTGTATCACTGTCAGGATAAATATTAAACAATCCAAAGGTAGAATTTGTATACAGTACAAGTACCTGTAATAATATACTATTCATACTTATTTAAGATCATGAGAAGTTTCCTAATGTTCTTAAATTTGATTAAATAATGGAAAAAATTTGATCTGAGAATCTTGTGGCAGTCCTCGTTGTAGTGGAGTTGCCAATTCATTAATATAATTTTTACATTATTTAACCAAATATACAAATTTTTTTAAACTTCTCATGATTTTCAATAACAATGAATAGTTTATTATTAAAAAAATTCTACCTTTGGATTGTTTAATATTTATCCTGACAGTAAGTAAGCAGACTGTAAACACCACCACTACCTGTCTACCCCAAACAAAACCAACCTCTCAATAATGCAGTCAGTCATTCATACACTAACACATGAGGGTCATGGATGGCTGGCCCTTGTACAGTATATCGCTGCCCGAGTCTGTGAGAACGCTTTGTTAACCGAATTTTTGTTCGTTAACCGAATTGAAGATCCTTATGGAAGGCAGTTCGTTAATCG